AACTACATTTCTATGAAAATTTAAGCTTTTGTGTGTGTGTGTGTGTGTGTGTGTGTGTGTCCCACATAAACTTAAACCTTGTTTATATGGCTCCTGTTAGCCTTTGAGCTTGACATGCTTAGTATATGGAAACGACTCAAAAAAGAGTAACAGGCCGAAATGGCAAACACCATCATCTGAAAAGCCAACTTAATCTACAATCAAAAAATGATGTGTGTGGAGAGTCAGTTAGGGTAGATAGTCAGGAAAAGCACAGTAAGGACCTCAGTTGTGGCCCAGTGTGCTGTGCACTGCGGTGAGGGCTTGTACTCAAAAGGACCCTGTTCCAACCCAATGATCCAGGGTGTAGACACAGGAGGTTGGGAAGGAGGACTGGGATCCAGAACATGATCTGGGCTGCAGGGAAAGCATGGTGAGAGCCATTGTCTCATTCAGCCAGTAGGGATATACAGGAGAGAATCACATGGGCAGTGGGTGCTATGCATGAATAAGAGGTGAGCACCCGTCCACTGAGACCAGGATCATGTAGGATTCCAGCATCACTTCCGAATATTAGGTCGCAAAATTCATATCAAAGTGTATCCTCCCCTGAGGGGTGAGTGTCAAACTGAAGGGTCCAACTGAAGCATGAAATTCACCCCAGTAAATAGAATGGAAGCATGACACCCAACATGTGGGCATCAGTGCAGAGACCCAGCCCTAATTATCGAGGTCTCCTGAGGGTCATACTCTGTGATGGGATCAAAGGGGAGGCAGACAAACAGCAGCTCACTCTGAAAGAAGGATCCCCTGGAGAAACCACTTTAGCTGAGAAATGATGGTGTTGCTCAGAACACAGGGAGGCCAAGGGCAAGTGCTCTGAGGTGTAAAGGGAATGGGAGGAAAAGAATAACTGCAACCATGGAAACAGGAGCTGCAGCTGAGCCACCCTGGGCCTCAGACTGTACCTGCTCCAGTGAGGGCTGCACATCTGAGTTAAGGACTGTGTCTGACGATGAGAAAATAATAGTTAAAATCCAGCCCCTTGAATCTGACACTTGTCTGTGGTGTAAACTTGGAGACCTTACTTCATTTTTCTGTCAATGAACTTTTTCAGCAATTTGATATGGACCACACCACAATGAGATCTGAATGCCCACAGCACCTGTCTCAATGCAGAAGAGTCAGTGGCTTTTTATAGGTCCCATTTCTCACTAAAATGCACCCAAAGACAAAGGTGCTTGCGGGCATTGGGGGAGTGAAAAGTGCCTGCCTGGGAAGGTCTCTGCAGGGAGTGGCTGGAGTTGCTGGAGCCAAGGCAGGCTGCAGGCACAGCTGCGTTATTGCATGTGGACACCTTACCACTGGACCTTCTCCAACAGCTCTGGCATGGACATACCTCATACTTGTTTTTCACAGGAGGAAACTGACTTAGGAAATGCATGTTCACCTATTTTGGAAAATCAGCTTTGTCAATTATATATTCAATCCCCATCCTTATATGCCCTCTGGGCGAGAGGCTCATCTCAGTCACAGAAAAAGTGACAAACAATAAAGAACTTTCGCCAAAACCCACAAAAGCCACATCCCTGGTCAAGACAACCTTTTTCTCCACCTTTGTTTTGCTGCCAGTGGCTCTGATGGGAACATCTGAGAAGCTACAGGAGCCACAAAACATCTTGATTATAATCAATGACAATGACTGCTCCACAGAAAATAAACATGCCTGGAGTCCCTCAGATCGGTGTACACACAGATCTTGTAGTCTTTTCCGCAAAATAATTCCTGTATACACAGTTAGATCAGGACCATTTCATCTAATAGGCTGCAGTCTGGTCCAACAATGTCAGTGTTTTTAATCCACCTAGCAGAAGGGTTCAGGAATCTGGAGAAGGCGCTGTGTGTAAATCCTGAAAGATTCCAGAGACAAAACATAATTTTCGAAGGCATTTGAGGGCCAGAGGTGCTTGGCTAAAGAAACCAAGTTCTCGCCCTAACCGGTTTGGCTCAGTGAATAGAGCGTCGGCCTGTGGACTCAAGGGTCCCAGGTTCGATTCCGGTCAAGGGCATGTACTTTGGTTGCGTGCACATCCCCAGTAGGGGGTTTGCAGGAGGCAGCTGATCGATGTTTCTCTCTCATCTATGTTTCTAACTCTCTATCCCTCTCCCTTCCTCTCTGTAAAAAAGTCAATAAAATATATTAAAAAAAAAAAAAAGAAACCAAGTTCTCTCTTGTCTCAGGACCCTTTGCTTTTTATTAACACAAACTGTCCTAAGGCAAAGTAAAGATATACATCAAAGGCCAGGTTTTGGTATATAGAATCCATTGTCAGATTGGAGAAATTGCCCTCAGCTGTTCAGGGGTTTGGCCAGCAGGAGGCAATAACATGTAGACTGAAATGCCCTCAGCTGTCTGGCAGCAAGCAATCATTTTATGCATCCTTTTCAGGTTTGGGAAAATGCCCTCAGCCATTTCCAGGTGATTCAGCCCTGCTGACATGCTGGAATTGGCTTCCAACACAACAACAATTAGGTCAGTGTCTCTAGAGTGAAAGGGTTTCCCATTACTGTTCTGGTCTTCAAACCAGTGACCATCAACCGTGAAATTGTAGGCAGTAGGGGACATGTACCTTTGAAAGACCTGGGCAAGAGATTCCCTTCACATGTATTGGCATCTCTTGCAAACAAGAAATAAAATTCATGCTCCCAGACATAACTGAGGTTGTCACAGCTACCTCCTCTTTGGAGTGACTGCTATGTCTCCAAGCATCCAGACATCACATGAGGATTAGAGAGTCCAGAGTATTTCCTAGAAAAATATGGGCAGTAGTGTAAATTTGCCAAAAACTCCTGAGCTAATCCTGCACCATACTGTTCCCCCAAGGGCAGAAATGTTTGAGACCCCATAAAAGTTGTTCACCTCATCATGCTTGGAGAGCCCCGATCTCCTTAAAGCTAACCCACACAGTAAATAGAACACCTAAGATTAAAGAAGTATTACGAAAAAGCCTTTATTATTGTACAAACTAAAGAGACATGAGACTGGCAGTTCTTACACTGATGACTCAGCCACTCAATAAATTCATCACTGGCATTCAGGGAAACCATTCCCTCTGCAACATTATGTTTACTGGGGCCAACAGTACTGAGTCCTATGTGGCAACCCATGACAGGGAAACAAGAAAACTTTGGGTTCAGGTATTCCTCATTTTCTTCAACAAAAAAGAAAACAGAGTTAGCTTCCCCGGGCACATGGGGATGGTGATTGATGCCATTTGTAGGGACCTTACAGGTGGTTGAGGTGAAATACCATCTACAACAGAAATATGCAGTGACATAGATCTGGCAGGCTATCTCTGTATGTTAGAACGTGCAACATAATTACAGTGTTCCAACATAAAAACAAACACAAGAACATTTATGGGAACTATACATAATGTAGGTGATTAAATGTATCAGATACAATTCAGAAAAGTGAGGATACACACATTTTCTTATACTAATGTTAAGTACTAAGAAACTACATTTCCAACACATCTAAGAAATTTCCCACATTTGGACTCATACGTGCAGAGCAAATTTAGAAATTTGGCTGAGAGATACCTCATATTAATTGCACTCATGTTTTTCTCCAGTGTGAACTCTGATGATAGTGAAGACCACTGCTCCTTGTAAAAGATTTGCCACATTCACTGCATTTATAAGGCTTTTCTCCTGTATGAACTCTTTGATGATGATGAAGTACGGTCTTAGTGGTAAAAGATTTTTGACATTCACTGCATTGGTAAGGCTTTTCTCCAGTGTGAACTCTCTGATGATATTGAAGACCACTGTTCCTTGTAAAAGATTTGCCACATTCACTGCATTTATAAGGCTTTTCTCCTGTATGAAGTCTTTGATGATGATGAAGTACGGTCTTAGTGGTAAAAGATTTTTGACATTCACTGCATTGGTAAGGCTTTTCTCCAGTGTGAACTCTCTGATGATATTGAAGACCACTGTTCCTTGTAAAAGATTTGCCACATTCACTGCATTTATAAGGCTTTTCTCCTGTATGAACTCTCTGATGATCACGAAGGGCATTGCTCCGTGCAAAAGATTTTCCACATTCACTGCATTTATAAGGCTTTTCTCCCGTATGAACTCTCTGATGATATTGAAGACCACTGCTACTTTTAAAGGATTTTCCACATTGACTGCATTTATAAGGCTTTTCTCCTGTATGAACTATCTGATGATAACGAAGGGTACTGCTCTGGGTAAAAGATTTCCCACATTCACTGCATTGATAAGGCTTTTCTCCCGTATGAAATCTCTGATGACGACGAAGTCCAGTGCTACTGGTGTAAGCTTTCCCACACTCACTGCATTCATAAGGTGTTTCTCTCGTGTGACCTCTTTGTTGGTAATGAAAGCTAGATAATTTGGTAAAATATTTTCCACATTCAGAGGACACAAAACACCCACTTCCAAGATGGACACCTTTTTCCTGAATAAACGTGTGGGTGCAACTAATGTCTCTCTGACATTCTTTTCTACTGTAATAATTTTTTCTCTTTTGAAACGTCACCCCACATGTCGAAATTACACTTGGACTGTTCCTGGCCTGAATAGCCTTTAGTTGGAAATGTCCTGACCCTGCAAGGACACCCTGCCCAACCTCCCTGCATGTGAAACTATTCTGGGATACATTGAAATTGCAACTGTTTGCAAGTGACATCCTGTCCACACCTCTAATGAAAGACTTCTCTCTCATATGCTGCTGGTGAAATTTTGCACGGAAATAAAATCGTTTTGCACATGCCCCACACTTCAACAGTATCTGTCCGTGTTGTGTTCCCTGCAGCTCCATCGTGTGGAAAATGTTTCCCAAGACTAGCCCACAACTCTCACAGGGGTGACTCTCCTGGGAAGACAAGGCTAACCTGGGATTCCTTGCCTGTGACAATCTTACAGAAACCTTCTGCTCAGTCGTTTCCGCCAAGTTCTCTGCTCCACAGCAGCAACCTGAAGAAAAGAAACCTAGGTGAAGTGCATGTTGACCTAAAAATACAGAATATCTTCACCACAACTGTTTATGTCACAACTGGACATGATTTAATACAATGATTTTCAAGACAAGGCAGTGAGACTCTCGGGAAATGGCTGTTAAATATATAACATGGCCCAAAAGGTCACTGAATGAGGAAAATCTCACCAATGGAGAACAGAATCATTGGCTGGCAAGAAAAGGAGGAGGGTCTGCTCGTTATTACTCCACAAATGGCTTCCTTTAGGACCTTTCAGACTGGCGATATGAATCTGTGTTAAATAATTTGAATGTGCTGAAACCAATAAAATATCAATCATAGTAAAGCACGGGATCTTCAGCGTCAATATAATACGGGTGCACTCTAAGGCTCTGCAGGCATGCAAGAACACTGGCGTGCAGTAAAGCCAATATGTGTGATAGAGGTAGAGGTGTAAAGTTGAAAGAGGTTAAGGTTATCCATGGGCTGGGAATCCGAGTAGAATAATCAGTATTAAAACTGAAAAGTGTCAACATTAAGCAAGTAGAAGTAGAATTGGGTGAGGAGTAGGCAATGGTAACAAAACATTGTTGATCAAAATGGCTTCCTAGTTATGAACGTAACAGAACCCAGGCATGAAAACTGCCCCCAGAATCCTTCACCAAGGTAGGACTGCCTCTGGGTCTACCCTGTCATTGATAACGTCATGTTTCTCCTGTGCTGCACAAAAGATTTTGCCTCTTAAATCCAAGTTGAACCATAGCATGAGATAAATGATGGAAATCTTAAAAGAAAAACTAAAACGAGGTATGGTCAGCACTGTCCTAGAAAACAAACCACAAAAGGGATCACAGGCAAAAGACCTACGTGAGTGACATCATCAAGATGACAGAATCAGAGATAGAGAATCTTTCCCCAGAGTAAGTAGACAGCTATCCATGAAAAAAAATCCCAGAGGAAATGGGAATAAAAGTACCATGAGACAAACAGTAATACAGAATACCAAATAAGGACAACTGCATAGAAAGGATGACAGAAAACTGGCTGAGCAAACACATTTGAAGGTACCTAAGGTCAAAAACAGGGTTAATAATAACTAAGTAAATAAATAAGTAAATAATAAAGCAAGTGTCAGCCTGCAGACTGAAAGGTTCTAGGTTCCATTCCATTCAAAGGCACATGCCCAGTTTTTTTTGGGTTCAGTCCCCAGTAGGGGGCATGCAGGAGGGAGCTGATCAGTGAAACTTTCTCATTATTAATGCCCGCCCTCCCCCCCCCCGTTCCTCTCAGAAATTAATAAAAATATCTTTTTTAAA